ATACAAATTCTCGGATCTGCAGCGTGCTGTTGGCGATCAGTGATGCCGAGTAGACTGGGCGACGTTGCTGCACGATCTGACGCGCTGACGGGTCTGACGCCTGACGGATCTGACGTGTCTAACGTTGTTCTACTCTGACACAGTTCTGCCCCTGCTCTGTCTGTCGTTTGTTCTGCTCTTGAACAAGTTCTGCTATGCTTGAACAAGTGTGACTCGGGTGAACAACTTCGCTCTGATACCACTTGTTAGGATTAACTCTCACACACTCACACAAACAAGAAAGTATAACACAAAGGATTACGTGGTTCGGCCAATAAAGGTTATCGACCTACGTCTACGGGGGCAACCAAGAAGCTTTTTTATTACTTCAATACGAAGCGGCACATATTTTACAAGTTAAAGGGGTATTTATAGACTATGTTTAGGGTTAATAACAACTGGATCCAAACTCCTAAGCCCATTAGGGTTAATTACCTAAATAAGCCTACACTTAACACTAATGCCGCCGAACGCTGCCGTGATCGCTGCGGGCAACTCCTGCCGCAGCGACACCATCTCATTCGTATTCTGTTCTCCCAAAGTCTCGAGCTTGGCGGAAAGATCCTAGGGGATCTGATTTACCTCTTCCTGTATCTCATTTACCTCTTCCTGTATTTCTCCAACGGCTGATTTCAGTAACTCGAATCGTTGTTGATTGAAGATGGGCATGATTTCGTCAGCTGAGGATCCGACAAGTAGGACCAATTGTTATTATTTAGGGTTAGTCAAAAAGAGAACTTTATTCGAATCAATGGAAATAGAGAACCACAAGAAAAGAAAAAAAAAAAAAAAAAAACTAATTCGCTCTGTAACCAAAATCAAAATAATGATTGTCTAACCTAACATGACCTACATGCGGCGGACTTATGGCCAAGCCCAATCCTCAAAATCAATAATTTAACAATAAATAAAATAATAATTATCCTAGGGGTGTTTCCTCCTCTTCTAACGTAGACCTTGACCTTACCCACACAAGTGAACTGGGTTATCAAATTTTGTGTATTGTTTTATTTTCCGTTCGAATTTGGACAGCTATAGGCAAGTCTCATTTACACACACAAGTGTTATAACCACATAACAACTATATGTTTTTCAAGAAGTGCAAACCTCTTGTGGTTTTTTTAACACGTTACAAATCGACTCGGAGTAGTTGGCCTCTAAGCGTTCTATTTTATTTATTTCCAACAGGTTTATTACAGTTAAATATAGACCCTTTACCCTTAATTCTGCTAACAGCTTTGGCAAAAGCCAAGTGAATCTGGAACGAGCCACAGACTAGACAACTCCAAATCTGTTCCTGAGAACTGTCATGGGGGCTTCCCTGCAATCTTAAAAAAATTATTGCTCGACCCCCCGCAAACAATCCTTCACAGTTCCAATTTGACTGACCTGGACAACCACTAAACCTGCTTATTTTAAATCGCGTGTCAAACTGCGCTACCAAAGCCCGTGTGAACTCCTCCTGTGAAATCGCTGGCTTTTGCGCTCTCAACAATGTCAACCAGTACAAGGCCAGCCCATCCATAGTGACCACAGCTGATGCCACCTTCACATCCGGTTGGATACAATTCAATTCAAACTGTTGCTCAGCCTGTGCTATCCATTGAATCAAATTGCCACCTTCAAACAACGGCAACAGCGTCGTTGTCATGCCACCATGAGACTAATCACATGTAGGCGGCACTGTCGGGGGTGTGAAAGATGCCCTCACACCCCTCCTTGTGTCACTCAAGCCAACGAGTGCCCTTTTGGTGACAGGTTTAAAATCTCTTTCAAACGGCTAGAGAAGCCGTCTCGACTAATTGCGCATTGTTCTTTGCAAATTGTACACTATTCTCTTCTAGTTTTTCCTTATTTCGGCCTAATCGGCCTTCAATCTATTTAATCGATCGCAGGACTATCTCGTCATTCCGGAAAAAACGAAATCTGGTAGGCCAGACCAATCGATAGAAGCAAGATAAATAGATAAGATTAATCAAACAGTATCAATCGTTTGCTAAAAAAAAATATCAAGCGGAATCAACTCTGCCCAAAAGCCTAAAGGCTACTTTATTTCCAAAATTAAAAAGAATGTCTCAAACACCAGCTACTCGTTATATACTACTTCCTTCATCCCATATAATATGTCCAATTTTTCGATTTTCGTCCATCCCAAGTAATTTATACTTGTACACTTTAATCATTTAAATTTTATAATTTATAATTATCTTGATTTTAATTAAATTATTTAGTTATCTCAATCTTAACCTATAATTATTTGTATTCATATAATAATTATTTTTACTAATACACTTTTTAATTATTCATTAATTATACTTTTTTTATATTACCGTGTATACAATAATATGGACATTTTTACTGAGATGAAAATAATACTACTTAAACTCTATTTACAAAAATTAAAATAAGTTTCTCTAATAAACAATAAATAAACCCAACCTAAAATAATAAAAGTAAATAATTAAAAACCCAACCGTATAAATATTAAAAGCTCTAGCTTGCAAAAGCAAGCCTAAGCCCGTGCCCCCCCTCCGGTACACCAACGAGGGCCTCGCCCCCTCCTCATTCTCGAGTTCCTGTCCCTACTCCCTATCAAATATACCAAGGAAGAGCTACAACCAAACCAAACAACAAATTATTTAGCAGGTTTGAACTTTTAAAAATAAAATCAATGGGAATATAGCCATTTAACCAAAAATACAGCCGAATGTGTCATGAAAGAGCAGATTTACTCAACCATGTGTTTATCATAATCAAACTACACCACTCTTTCCAAACTTAGCAACTAAAACAATTTAAATTACACTATTAAAAAAAAAGTGCAGCCCATATACCAATTTATCAATACAATAGTCAAAATCATATGTAAATATCACCTGAAGATTGAAATTCCTTCCTTCTTCTAACCTATAGTACTCTATATTCGACAAAATTTCAATGAGAAATCATTAAGGCCAACCTAGAAGATAACTTACCAAGTCAAGAGCATAAACTAGCAAGGCATCAAGTCAAATCAGTAAGTTAAAAAAGACTCCTGGATTGCATAGCAGCAACAACATCAACATCATCTTTAACCATGGAAATTTTTCAAGTTAGCAAATGAGGTGTTAAGTAGCAAAATACCTACCCTTACATGAAATATATGTATCAAGTGAGCAAGCAATTCAACATCCAATTAATATCAGAACTATTTTAACAATCATCACCAAATTGTGTCAACTTAACTCAGAAGAGACCTACCTTCTTATTGATCCAAATGCATCTTGGTAAATCCATCAAATTCCTAACCAAATTTTTCGTCAACTTAACTCAGAAGAGACCTACTTTTCTTATTGATCCAAATACATCTTGGTAAATCCATCAAATTCCTAAATCAAATTTTATTCAACACATCACCATAACAAAATTCCACGCCCTTTAAAAAAATAAAAAATAAATAAAAAAAATCACAGTTATAGCCAAGCTAATCACACCAAAATCTAACAATTCTAATTGCAAGCAAAACCATACCGTACTCAATGATAACATTCGAACAGCAGCAAGCTTCAATCTAATTGATTAAACAACCCAATTACGCACACAACCAAAAGCTATCCAATTTTATGTATAAACCCAACAATTTCGCCAATTTGTAGCCTGCAAGTTCAAACGCATTAAACAAAAATCAAATCTGAAATTGAGCGAAGGTGAGTTACCATACATCCAGAGCAAGGAATGGCGGGGATGGAAACTTGAGAAGGAGGTGAGGATGACCAGAGCATAAAGGAAAAGGAAAGGTGACACCCAAACCATTTAATGTCTAGTTTGTAATATACTGAAGAAGTATCATGTATCTATGTGCCCTCTGAACTTTGTTGAGAACCTACAAACCAACATTTATGGTAACAGCGCATTATACCCAAATCAAGTACACCGCTGACAATATCCCCCAAGCCGAGCAAGGTTGATGTCGACGACAGTTCTACACTGAGCTATAACTAATTATGTGTTCGTTTGTAAAACTTTCTACAATTTCTACTATTCATAAAAAAATTTCCCTTAAAAAACATCAAATCAAACAACTATTTTTTATTTTTTATATTATACACTTTACATTCAAAACATCACATCAATACCTACTTATATCACATCATACAACTATTCAAATTCAAAATTTTTACTATTTAAATCCCAAACCAAAATTCAATCTCCCAAACAAACACACCCTAAATAGATTTGAAACCATAAAAACACATACCTGTATGGCTATAAATCAATTGGATGGTGGGATCCTCAAATCACCGGAGTGAATTTCGGAAAACTCCGGTAGAAGCGACAAACGGCAGCGCGAGGCGATTTGATGAGGAAGGGTGACAAATCTGGGGCTACTTGAAGGAAGGGGTTGTAGAAAATGCTAATTGTTGGTTCTGAATGGCCATTTGGGGATATATGAGCTTTTTCCTTTTTTATCAATGTACTTTGTATTTGTAATTATTCTTTTAGCAATTAGTAAGATTACTTTTATTTTCTATAGATACGAAAAGACAAAAACTATATTCAATTCATTCTGTTAGTGATAGTTAATTGTTAAGAAAACTAAAGTGTAACACATAAGTCAATGTTCTAATGGATTAACTTCTTTTTACCACGACCAAATCCTTCACTACTACCAACATTTATTACAAAACTCTTGCTGCGGTCAATTTTCCGTTACAAAAGCTCTATTTTTTTAAGTGATAAAAGAACAAACCCTAAATTTTATTTTCATTTATTATAGTGATTTTTATTCGATACTATAAATATATTTTAGTCATCATATATTGCTCCCTACTTTTAATAACATGAGATCACACATGAGACAGGCACCATAACTCATTGACTAGCACAGTAGCAAAAGATTTTAACAAGGATACACAACAATCAATTGATAGGAGTAGAATATACAATCAAGTAAATATTTTTATGTATGAAACACTACCAACCTGAGTGCTAGCTCAAGCTTAACCAAGCATTTTAGCACCTTTCACAATTTTACAGTTTTCCTCTTTTACTTTGAGCATAGGACACATTCTGATAATATTCCATGGATTACCTGTCACCATAAACAAAGTAACTATCATGCGGAGTTCACATAGAACAGCCCACCTCCACCATCAAATATTAACATAATGAAATGAGAAACTAAGACATGTAATATGAATGTAAAAAGTAGTTTGATGGTAACAATAAGTCGTATTATAATTCTTCAATCTTTTGTGCTTGTCCTTCGCAGATTCGTATAGCCCAAGTACTCTTTAAATTTAACATCTTCATTAACTATCATTGCTTGATTCTAACATCAGTTGGGTTAATAAGGAATTGGGTTAAATTATTGGAATTAGACAATACTAAGCTAAAGAAGTTAAAACAAGGTAAAACAATGTTTACAAAGATTGACATTTTGTCCCATTCCTATCTGAATTAAATTATTGCGGAAGTATTTTAAAAGAACAAATATACATAAAAACACTGTATAATGAAAATGTAGTGAAATTACTGAAAGGTTATCACCATTGAAGAAATTATTTATGCAACTTAAAAATAGTATAAACATATTACGCAAATTTGTGTAATTAATCCATAACCCACTTTAAAGACCAATTCCTAAACAGCAAAGTATACTTCTACACTTCACTGGATAAATATGAAGCCTGCTCATTCATTCTATAGCTTGCTTATTCAAAGCAACTTCATGTTTTAAAACAACGTTAATGACTATCTTAAAATAGAACCTATAAGGGAAATTTGAATTTATAATTAAGTTATCATTCAATGTCAGTTATGTTGTCGAAACCAAGCGACAAAAAATCATAAGAATAAATGGCATAATGTCTCTATACGAGTAATGGGTATCAAAAATGATTTAAAACTAGTTTTTTTCCCCTTTTTCTAATTGAACACACCATGTTCAGCTGCGCTATCATAACTCTGGTATGGAACTTCAATCATAGGCCTTGGAACAGGTCGTTCACCGAAGTCTTCAGGAAAGCATTCAAAATCAGGACCAAAATTGAACTTCACAACACAGGGGGGGTAGTTTGGGAGAGTGTACATAGAAGCAGCAGGGTAGTATCGACCACCATAGAGATCTGTGAAAGCAACCCCCTGGCATACTCCATTTCTGAAATAAGATACCTCACTTCCTGCACATTACAACTCAATAAGGATATTTCCCATACAAAGAATCCCATGTTGCAAAGTTAAGCTTACAAGAAGATAAAGTACAAGGCATAAGATAAGAACCAGAATAATAGCAAAATAAACTTTAATGTAGATATGACCCACACAAGCTAGTAGGAGTAAACTATTTTGTGCTAAAAATTCAATAGAAAGGAAAACAAGAAGTGAGTTGAAGGAACTTATCCTACTATTTCAAACTAAATGCTCAAGCAATGGCTCAAATTGATAATTTCGATAGATAAGCATCCTTGCAGGTTGAAATCCTCTAAAACTAGAATTACAACAGGCTCTTGATGAACACAACACGTAATATTCACATAGAAGCTTGTTGTAGTAAAAATCTACTAACACACAAGCAGATCAGGGAACAGCATTCAGCAGTAGAGTTCACAATGGTCCCAGATAAAATATGTATATATATTATCATCACAAGAATCATAGACTGAGCAGAATGGGTATAACATTAATCAATATACAATTACACAAGTAGCAATATGACTACTCAAACGATAGCAGGCTAGGTGAGAGAGCATTAGTCGGGTGTGAGGGGTGAGTGTTGAATATAAACATGCACATATAGACAGAATTCTACTGCAACTACTAGATTCGACAGCTAATCAGAAACTATGATAAGCACAAAATTAAGATAGCAGAAAAAAACTCGAAATCACCACAAGGCAGTCAGTTTTCCTGTGATTCCAATATCCAGTCATCTATTCTTGCATTTGATCTATCCAGTTTTGCCTTTAAATCTACTTCATGCATCATAGAATGCCTAAATTCATTTGTCAAGAGATATAAACATTCCTGTCCACTGCAGAAATGATCACAGTGGACATTTACAAACTTATAGAAACAAATATAGCACATTACATATATACATATATATATATATATATATTATCCCCATAGACAAACTCTAGAAACTGAAAGGCCCACAATATAGACGTAGCTATAAACTGCACCAAATAATTTTCAATCAGCACGTATGAGACACAACTCCACTCCAGTAAATTACATTCCTGAAAGTGTAGATGACAGCTAAATATAACCTAATGTAATCAATAATGCAAATTGCAAGCAAAAGAAGGGTGAGTATTGATTAACTCACCGGGCACCACTTTTGGGGGGTCCTGCTTGGGGTCGGGAGCAGTAACATAGCGCTGCCCCTTGTGCCAGACCAACCGTGGCGGATTAGGGGCATAGGAATCTCCATCTGGTAAATTTATATAGAATCCTAAAACATCACCTTCCTTGTAGCCTTCACTACCATACGTCTCTCTCAACGCCTTGTGCACTTTACTGCCGTCGATATCCCTATAACCATAACTATTAGCATCAAACCCTACAGGAGCCTGCAAGTCCCCTTTCTCAGTCGACCATCCCAGCCTCGTGTGCCCCGTCTCCCCCAAATACTCCACTTTGATTTCGAAATACCACGCACCAGCTGCCACTCCCCTCGTCGCCCTCACCATTCTGTAACCCTTTATGCTGCTCGCTGTTAATCTGTCCTCGCTTAAATCAACCTTGTCCGCCTTGTGAACTTTCGAAACGCATATCTTCAAATCTGGACTATCGTCGTTCCTGTCGGGTAACCTAGCGATTGGGGCAATCAACAGCTTTTGCCCAGCTGATGCGTCCCCGTTGAGGGCAGTATTAGATTTAATATTGTTCGATGCTTGTTTGGTCTTCTTCTTCCCCTTCCTGGAAGTGCTCACCCACACGTCCTTGCTCTTCTTCTTCGATTTCTTGCCCGTTTTCGCCGCCGGCGGTTTCGCAGAACTGGAAGTGGGAGGAATTGCGTCGGCCGACGAAGGCAGTTCCGTCATTGCAACTTCGGTCTTTCCGATTTCGGTTTCGCCAATGTCTGTGAGCTGCTTCAGCCTTTTCGAAGGCGGTTCCCCTTCTTCCGCAACTCCTTCCGCTTCTCCGACGCCGTCTATTTCAGACCGTACCGTGCCGCCATTCTCGGTGGCTAATTCGTCGATCCGATCGGTTTTAATCACTTGTGGAGTGGAAACCTCTTCCGACGAAACATCAACCGTCGCCGCGGCGTCCGATTCTTCCTTCACTGCTTTCAACTCACCGCTTCCGAGCTTTCCATCGGATCCAACCCCTGCGGCGGCGCTCACCGTTTCTCCACCGATGGACAGATTATCGGTTCTCTCGTTCTCGTCGCCTCCACACGCTTCCCGAAGAGGATCCATCGACACCATCGACGATTCGACACAGGCATCTCTATTCTATACGTGTGTATATATTTATCGTGAAAAAATCAATTTTGTTCCAATATAATCAAAATTTATCAAATTCTCATATAAAAAATTCATCATAAATTTTGGTCCCAATATAAAAAAATTTTAGTTTAAATATAAACAATTTCAATCAATTTTGGTCCCATTATAAATAATTTTTATCAATTTTGGTCTCACCGTTAAAAATATAACGGAAATTGCTGACGTGGATACGACGGAGGTGACGGGCAGTTGACTTGGAAAGTATACGGCCATGAATAATTATACACGGCCATGTTATTACATGGTCATGGTCATGTATATTTCATGTATATTTCAGTGTATAATTGTACATGGTCATGGCCTCATGTATATTTCAGTGTATAATTGTATATGGCCGTATCGTTATACACGGTCATGTACATTTCTATTTTAGTTTAAAATTTTATTTTTTGTTATATTTTTTAAAAAAATAATTATTTTGAATTTAAAATAGTTAATATAGTTAAAATGGACAAAATCAATAGTAATTATAATATAATTAAAATTTATCAATTTTAATTCAAATATAAAAATTTATAAGATATATTCTTTTGAATGGTTTTGTCTAAAATTTTATTATTCATAAAAAAAAATTCTCTTACAAACATCCAATTACACAACTATTTTTTAATTTTCTATATTATAGTAATATTAAAAATTAATTTTTTATTTCAATACATTAATTGGATGTTTGTAAGAGAAATTTTTTGCTAAATAGTATAATTTTAGACAAAATCTTTCAAAAGAACATACTCGATAAATACTTATATTTGAACTAAAATTGATATATTTTAATTATATTATGATCATTATTGTTTTTTTTTCTATTTTAACTATATCAACTATTCTAAATTCAAAAAAAAATTAAAAATATAACAAAAAATTAAAATTTTAGACCGAAACGGAAAGGTACACGGCCATGTAGAATTATACATGGCCGTGTAACATGGTCATGTATAATTATACACTGAAATATACATGATAATGTAACAAGATGGCCGTGTATAATTGTGCATGGCCGTGTAACAACATGGTCATGTATAATTATACACTGAAATATACATGGCCCTGTAACAACATGGCTGTGTATAATTGTACATGGCCGTGTAACAACATGGTCATGTATAATTATACACTGAAATATACATGACCATGTAACAACATGGCCGTGTATAATTGTACATGACCGTGTACTTTCCAGGTCAACTGTCACGTCACCTCCGTCATGTCCACATCAGCAATTTTCGTTAGTTTTTAACGGTAGGACCAAAATTGATAAAAATTGTTTATAATTAGACCATTATTGATTGAAATTGTTTATATTGAGACCAAAATTTGATAAATTTTGGTTATATTGGAACCAAAATTGATGAATTTTTTATATTGGAATCAAAATTAATTTTTTTCCATATTTATTTGTGTAGCCGACTAACCAATTTGAGCTTAAAAGCCCATTAGAATAACAAGAGGCCTGATAAGAAGTGAGCCTCTTTGTTATATACAAGTGGACATAAAATAAATAGCAAAAATTATTTTTGGTCTCATTAATATCATAATTATCAATTTTGATTTTATTAAAAAAATTTTATTAAGTTTGGTCACATTCAAATAAAACTTTATCAATTTTAGTCCCAAGATGGTCGACTGGGCGTCCCAGGCAGCCAATTACCTTGCACTTCTGAGCACGGCCGTGTTCTGTTTTGAACACATTCATGTTCCTGTCAATATTCTCAACACAGTCATCTTCCAGACTATGTTCACGACCATGTTCTCAACACCGTTATATTTTAGGTCATGTTCACAATCATGTTTTCAATATAATCATATTGTAGGTCATGTTAATTACTATTTTTATTTCTTTGTTAAAATTATTTGATATATGTATATATAATTCAAACAAATATTTTTATTTTTAAAAAATAATTGCATAAAAAATATAAAAATAATAATATATTAATATATATTTTTAATAATTATCATTATATAGTTTTTTAAAAAATTTATATTAAATATTTTAAGATATTATTTTGAATAATAAAATTAAATTTATTATATTATAAAAAATATGAAATAATTAAAATTAAAATTAAATTAAATTTATTATATTATATTATATTGATTATTTTTTATATTATGAAATAATTATAAAAAATATTTTTTTTAATTATAAATATATATATATATCAATAATTTTAACAAAGAAATGCAAACATAGTCTGGAACAGTTTTGAGAATATGGGCAGGAATATGGCCGTGTTGAGAACATAGACAGGAACATGTTGTGGTCAGAACACGGCCGTATTAAGAAGTGCAGGGTAATCGACACAGCCGTATTGTCTGTCTGGGACGCCCAATCACCTTCTGAGTCATCCAATACGGCCATGTTCGAGCCAATACGGCCGTGTTCGGTCCTAGTCAACCATCTTGGATCTAAAATTGATAATTTTCCAGTTGAATATGACCAAAATTGATAAAATAAAAATTAAAAATTAAAAAAAATAAAATAAAATTGAATGAGACCAACATTGATAATTATGATATTGAATTAGACCAAAAATAATTTTTGCTCGAAAATAAAAATAGTTTTGTTTATCTTAGTTAGTATTGGATTGAACAAAGATTAAAAGTTACAAATATTTTTTAATTTTTATTTTATGTTATATGCAAAGAATTAAATAATCTTTTAATTTTATTTCTCCTATTATAATGTTTAATTTCACTATCGCATTTATTTTTTCATTTATAACATATTTATTTTAATATTTAAATGATTTTTTTAATAGTAGTTATAATTATTACTTTCAATTCATTATCTTTACTATTTTATAAAATTAAGTATAATTTATTCTCTCAGTTTCAGTTATTTCATTAAATACTTTACATTAAAAAATAAAAAACATAATTATTTTTATACTATTTTTAATTATTCGTAAAAATAAATATATATTTATTAGCAGGACGGATGAAATATTTATTTTTATTATCTAATAATATATAAATAATATTTATTAATAATAATATATTTAAATTTCAAGATACTACTTACATAAATTATGATAATGCTATCATTTTTATAATAATTTTTAAATATTAAAGTTATTTGAATTTATAGGATTAGTTATATTTGAAAAATTGAATATAAAAATTTATGCTATCATTTTTATAATAATTTTTAAATATTAAAGTTATTTGAATTTATAGGATTAGTTATATTTGAAAAATTGAATATAAAAATTTATGGTACATTTAGTACAGAACAGAATTGCAGAAAAATTGAAGAGAAAGAATTGTAGAGATATGAAAATGAAATAAAGAATGGAAATTCATTCTTCTATTTGGTAAAATAGAGAATTTATGTGAGAAATGTAACACATAATTAAGTATCTTGTTTAATGGCTATAAAATGTTAATTGCATAATTATAATTTTTTTCAAAGAAATTTTATATTTAAACAAATAAAATCATATTTGAAAACATATAAATTAATAATAAAAACATAATTTATTAATCCAAAAAATCTTAAATAAAGTACTATAAAAACTATTAAATAAAATAAAATACTTCGGCATCTTAAATAAACAAAGTAACCATATAAATATAAAATAACTATCTCATGAAACCATTTACAAATGCTTTAATCATGCTAATTTTATCATCTTGACTCAAGGTAAGAAATGTCCATACACGCAATACATCCTTTCCGATCACATCAACGGCTTTAAAACGATGTATGATATCAATGTTCAGTAAAGCTCTTATCTCTTCACCAACTCTCTCGTACAATTCATGAGCTTCTAAATTTTCTTTGAGATTGGCATTCAAAGATTCACCAACAATATCTTCAAATTTAACTAATACTTTTTTCATCTATTTGCACGATTCCCGATATATTTCAAATCCGTCTGCGCTTTTATGTCTCTTACGTTGGCTTGCAACACTACCGGTTGGTTAGTCAAATCGACGAACATCCTAATCAACTTCTTCAACAAAATCAAAGTTATCAGTTTCGTTTGGAAATTTTCTTTGGGTCTCTTGGATGAGATCTTCTTCTTCAAGATCAGTTGCTTGACTACCCGTTGCTCGATCCTTACCAAAGATAGTACACAATTTATCATAGAACGGGAATGGCTTGCCTTGAAATTTGCAGCACCTTTGTGAGACTACAAAAAATTATAAATAAATTTAAAATAAATATCATTTAATATATATATATAAGTGTATAGAAAATACCTTGATGTATTCGTCCCAAACACTTTCTTCAGCAATAGTACAACTTTTTTCTTCATCCCAACCAAAACCACTAGGGTGCACCATATCATACACAATACTAAAGTGAGTCTTTCATGTTTTCATCCTATATTTTATATGTGGTTCTGCTTTCAAACCGGAGTTAGGAAGACTTGTATCTAGTAATTGTTGAACTCCATTTAAATAGCTCAGTTTAAAACCGTTGTCAGCACCCGCATACTTCCCAAATGCATGTAAATTCATCAATGCATCAATAAACTTAGTATCTTCCTCATTTGTTCAAATATGTTTGTTTCTTCCGATATTTCTTACTATATTTGAATCTACCATATCTATATAAAAATATATAAACATAATAAGCACATTTACATTAAAAAATTACTAAAACAATTTAGCATTATTATAATAGCACATTTACATACACAAAGTACAAATGTAATAGAGTATATATTGTAGCAACACTATCTTTTGCATGAGGAAAAATGAAAAATAAAAAATGTATGATAAAACAACCAATAAGACTACCTCTAAGGAAAACTAATTATTGGTACGTCTAACGTTCCAATTTTTAAACATTTCATTGGCTAAGATGTCTCTCCGATTAGTCCATTCTTGTGAAGTCTCAATCGTACAAATAATATTGTCATGGTCGTCTGTAAGTCGCGTGTGATTTTCTGAGACTTTATTATCAATGGGGTCTTCAC